TGATTATGCTTCGTTCAGTTACATGTCAGCTGCTCAATGAACGCGCGAGAAAACAAAGTTTGTGCCGATGTATTAGACACAGATGATAAGCAGCCAGCGAGATTCAGACTTTCGCGACCCTAGTTCTGAGATAAAATGCTCCTAACCTCTAGGCTATGGTGGCGCGAGGAGACTCTCGAAACTCACTCACAGGCTTTCCGGACCAGACAAATCAGATATTGTCACAAGAAATAGGGTCTCCAGGAGGCTTGCAATTTTTTTCCCAAGAGACAGTTGTAAAAAATATTTTTTTCAAATGGAAGACCCTTGAAGTGAGCCAAAAATTTTAGAAACCCTGTGATTTTCTCAAAGAATATAGTAATATCACGGATGCACTCTTCAAGATTATACCCCAACTCAACTGAAACTAGGAGAAGCAGAAATTCTGTTATGTATTAGACACAGATAAATAACCACCAGGAGATTGACTCCGCCCTGGTTTCAGGCAGTGCTCTAACCTCTGAGCTATGGTGGCGGAGAGACCTCGAAACTCACTCTGAGCTTTCGAGACCGGACAAAACGAATGTTGAATACCGAAATAAGTTCATATTTTGCAATTTATCGAGACTAGTAGAAAAAATATTTTTTTCGAAATGAAAGACCAAGTAGCCAAAAAATGTGTAGAACCTGTGATTTCCAAGAATATAAAGTACACGGGATGCATAATCTTCACAAGATTAAATCCTCAATAAGAAACCGAAGCAAAGTTTTGTGTGTGTATTAACAAGATAAATAAGCAACCAGCTGAGATTCCTCACTGACACATCTGGTTTACGACCAGTGCTCTAACCTCAGAACTATGGTGGCGTGGAGACCTCGAAAGTCACTCTTGAGCATTCGGAAGACGGACGGAAAACGAATGTTGAGTAGCGAAAATTCAGGTTTATCAATTTTTCGAAGTTGTGAAAACAAATATTTTTTCCGCCATGAAACAGGTAGAGCCAAAAATAAGAAATCCTGTGATTTCAAATATGTGATCACGGGATACATAATCTTTACAGATTAAACCCGCAACCAACAGGAACATGAGGAAGCAAAGTTTGTGTTAGTATTAACACAGATAATAAACCACCAGCGAGATTCGAACTCGCGACCCTGGTTACCGGACAAATGTGCTCTAACTCTGAGCTGCTGGTCGCGGGAGACTTCGAAACTCACTCATGGGCTTTCGGACCGGATGAAAAGAATGTGTTGAATACCGAGAATAAGTTCAGGCTTGCAATTTAAATCGAGACAGTTAAAAAAAATATTTTTTCAAATGAAAGACCAGCAGTAGGCAAAAAAATGTTAGAACCTGTGATTTCCAAGAATATAAAGTACAGGGATGCATAATTTCACAAGGAATTACCGCAACCAACGAACGCTTGCGAAAGCAATTTGTTTGTATTGTTAGATAGATAAGAAAGCCGTCCACACAGAGATTCCAACTCGCGACCCTGGTTTACGAGAAAATGCTCTAACGCCAGAGCTATGGCGGCGCGAGGAGACCTCAAACTCACTCATGAGCTTTCAGACCGGACGGAAACAGATGTTGAATACCGAAATAAGTTCAGGTTTTGAATTTTTCGAGACAATTGAAAAAAAATATTTTTTTCAATGAAAGATGAGCCAAAAATGTTAGAACTGTGATTTCCAGAATATAAAGTACAGGGATGCAAATCTTCTACAAGATTAAACCACAACCAACGAACGCGCGAAAGCAAAGTTTGTATTATGTATTGACACAGAATAATAAGCCACCAGCAGATTCAGACAACCCCCCTGTTTACAGAGATCTCAACCTCAGAGCTATGGTGGCGCAGGGAGACTTCAGAAGCTCACTCAGAGCTTTCGGACCAGTTGAAAACGAATGTTGAATACCGAATAAGCAGTTTTGAATTTAATCAGAGACTGTTAAAAAAAATATTTTTTTCAAATGAAAGAAACACATTGAGAACCAAAAATGTTAGAATCTGTGATTTCAAAATATAAGTACACAGGAGGCATAATCTTTACAGATTAAACCGCAAAAACGAACTGACAATTCTATGTTACGTATTGGACACAGATGGAATATAAGCTCCAGGCAGAGATTCGAATCGGACCCCTGTTTTCACAGGACAGTTGCTTTAACCTCTCAGGCATATGGCATGGCGCAGGAGATTATCAGGCTTGCACTCCATGAGCTTTGTCGAGATGGACGGCAATAATACGAAATATAGAATGTTCAGGTTTGCAATTTCAATCAGGACAGAAGGTTAAAATATTTTTTTTCAAATGAAGAAGACACAAGTGGCCAAAATGACTAAGACCTGAATTTCAGAATATAAGAGTACACGGAAAGCACCAAATCTTCACAAGATTAAACTGCACATAAACAACGCGAAGCAAAATTCTGATGCAGCGAAACTGGGCACATGATAGAATGAAGCAACCGAAAGCTGAGATTCAATGACTCTGATTTACGCGATACTCTATTACTCTGAGTATGGGCGGAGACAGACCACGATGCTTTCGACAGCCAAAAGTATGCCACGATGTCAGTTTTGAATTTAATCAGACGAGTGAAAAAAAATGTTTTTTTCAAATAAGAAAAGGCAGGTACCAAAATATTTGAAACCCTGTATTTTAAGTGGATAGTAAGTGATCATAATCTTACAGATTAAACCCGCAACCTAACGAACACGCGAGAAGCAAATTCTTTGTGTGATGTATTAGACACAGATAAATAAGCAATCAGCGAGATTCCAACTCGCGACACCTGGTTTACGAGACCAGTGCTCTAACCTCAGAACTATGGTGGCGCGTGGAGACCTCGAAAGACACTCATGAGCTTTCGGTCCGGACAGAAAACGAATGTTGAATACCGAAATAAGTTCAGGCTTTGCAATTTAATCGAGACAGTTAAAAAAAAATATTTTTTTTTCAAATGAAAGAACACAGTGAGCCAAAAAAAGTTAGAACCCTGTGATTTCCAAGAATATAAAGTACACGGGATGCATAATCTTTACAAGATTATACCCACAACCAGCGCACGCGCTAGAAGCAAAGTTTGTGTTATGTATTAGACACAGATAAATAAACCACCAGCGAGATTCGAACTCGCGACCCCTGGTTTACGAGACCAGTGCTCTAACCTCTAAGCTATGGTGGCGCAAGGAGACCTCGAAAGTCACTCATGAGCTTTCGGACCGGACGGGAAACGAATGTTGAATACAGAAATTTGTTCATGTTTTGCAATTTTTTCGAGACAATTGAAAAAAAAATATTTTTTTCGGATGAAAGACCCCAGTGAGCCAAAAAAAGTTAGAACCCTGTGATTTCCAAGAACATAAAGTACACGGGATGCTTAATCTTCACAAAATTAAACCCGCAATGAACGAACGCGCGAGAAGCAAAGTTTGAGTTATGTATTAGACACAGATAAATAAGCCAACAGAGAGATTCAAACTTGCGACCACTGGTATACGAGACCAGTGCTCTAACCTCTGAGCTATGGTGGCGCGAGCAGACCTCGAAACTCACTCATGAGCTTTCGAACCGGACGGAAAACGAATGTTCAATACCGAAATAAGTTCAGATTTTGAAATTTATTCGAGACAATTGAAAAAAAAGTATTTTATTCAAATGAAAGACCCCAGTGAGCCAAAAAATGTTAGAACCCTGTGATGTCCAAGAATATAAAGTACACGGGATGCATAATCTTCACAAGATTAAACCCGCAACCAACGAACGCGCGAGAAGCAAAGTTTGTGTTATGTATTAGACACAGATAAATAAGCCAACAGCGAGATTCGAACTCGCGACACCTGGTTTACGAGACCAGTGCTCTAACCTCAGAACTATGGTGGCGCGTGGAGACCTCGAAAGACACTCATGAGCTTTCGGACCAGACAGAAAACGAATGTTGAATACCGAAATAAGTTCAGGCTTTGCAATTTAATCGAGACAGTTAAAAAAAAAAATTTTTTTTCAAATGAAAGACCACAGTGAGCCAAAAAAAGTTAGAACCCTGTGATTTCCAAGAATATAACCTACACGGGATGCATAATCTTTACAAGATTATACCCACAACCAGCGCACGCGCTAGAAGCAAATTCTATATTACGTATTGGACACAGATAGATAAGCCACCAGCGAGATTCGAACTCGCGACCCCTGGTTTACGAGATAAATGCTCTAACCTCTGAGCTATGTTGGCGCGAGGAGACTTCGAAACTCACTCATGATCTTTCGGACCGGACGGAAAACGAATGTTGAATACCGAAAAAAGTTCAGGTTTTGAAATTTATTCGAGACAATTGAAAAAAAAAGTATTTTTTTCAGATGAAAGACCCCAGTGAGCCAAAAAATGTTAGAACCCTGTGATGTCCAAGAATATAAAGTACACGGGATGCATAAACTTCACAAGATTATACCCGCAACCAACGAACGCGCGAGAAGCAAAGTTTGTATTATGTACTGGATACAGATAAATAAGCCACCAGCGAGATTCGAACTCGCGACCCCTGGTTTACGAGACCAGTGCTCTAACCTCTGAGCTATGGTGGCGCGAGGAGACCTCGAAACTCACTCATGAGCTTTCGGACCGGACAGAAAACGAATGTTGAATACCGAAATATTTTGAGGTTTTGCAATTTTTTCGAGACAGTTGGAAAAAAATATTTTTTTCAAATGAAAGACCCCAGTGAGCCAAAAATTGTTAGATTTAAGACCTGATTTCCAAGAATATAAGAGACACGGAATGCGCCAAATCTTGACAAGATTAAATGCACAATATGAACAACGCGATAAAGCAAAATTCTGTATTACGATGACGGACACAGATAGAATGAAATACCGAAAAGCGAGATTCAAGACTCTCAACGCGAACTCGGACGGAAGAAACGAATGCTTGATACGAACCAGTTCAGGTTTTGCAATTTTAATCTGAGAAGTGAAAATAATGTTTTTTTCAAATGAAATAGAGCCAGGAAAAATATTTAGAACCCTGTGATTTTAAGAATATAAAGTACGGATGTCATAATCTTACAGATTAAACCCGCAACCTACGAACACGCGAAGCAAAGCAATGCAGCGTGAAAG